TCGAGTCCCACATCGGGCTCCTTGCTCAGCAGGGAGCCTGCTTCTCCCTCTCCCTTTGCCCCTCCCCCTGCTCGTGCTCGCTCACTCTCTCTCTGACAAAAAAAAACTACTTTTTCAAATTTCTGGATCTTTTTTTTTTTTTAAGATTTTATTTACTTGAGAGAGAGAGAGCGCGCATGAGCAGGAGCAAGGGAGGGGAAGTAGAAGCAGGCTCCCCTCTGAGCAGGGAGCCCAACTTGGACTTTGATCCTGGGACTCCAGGATCATGACTGGAGCTTAAGCAGACGTTTAACCAACTGAGCCACCCAGGCGCCCCTCTGGATCATTTTATTTTATTTTATTTATTTTTGAAAAGATTTTATTTATTTCAGAGACAGGGGGGAGAGAGAGATAATGAGAGAGCACACAGGCATGAGCAGGGGGAGGGGCAGAGGGAGAAGCAGACTCCCCACTGAGCAGAGAGCCTGATACAGGACTGTATCCCAGGACCCTGAGATCATGACCTGAGCCTAAGGCAGATGCTTAACCGACTGAGCCACCCAGGCGCCCCCCTCTGGATCATTTTAATTGAAGAATATCTTGGGATGGGAAAATGTGCTATTACAAAACCTGGTAGCATTTGCACCTACACATCTTTGAGTCAGGAGTTTCTAAATGCCTTCTAAACAAAACTAAATAATTTGTTTCTGTAATGTTATGGAGGTCAATATAGAAATTGCAACTGGAAATTCCATAGTCTAGCAGCTTCACTCTTTGATATATATGTGATATATATTATATGTTGTATTCTATGAAGGACAGTTTGTTGTCAGTATCCCAAATGATAAATGCAAATGTCTTTCTCCTTAGTCCTTCCAATTCTAGGAATTTATCCAGCAGATATGCTCACACATACTCAAAATCAAATTTGTACAAGGTTTTTCACTACAGCTTATTATAAAAAAAAGACTGGAAATGACCTAAATGCCCACAGCTGGGCCTTGGTTAAGTAAATATACAAGTACTACACAGCTATAAAAAAGAACGTCTTTTTACTCTAATATAGCTCTCTGGTACAGAATTATCTCTGAATATGCTGTCGAGTCAAAAAGCAAGATATAGAATAGGGAATAGAGAGCATGTTACCATTCGTGTGTTTTTTAAAAAGGGTGCAGGGGAGTACATATATTAGACACATTTGATTGTATATTCATAGAATACCTCTGGAACCAGCAACTTTGATTGCCCTGGGAAGAGAACTAGGTGGATAGAGAGAGCATTGGGAGGGAAGACTTTCAATGTATACTTCTGTGCCCTTTTGTACCTTTAGAATTGTGAACAGTCTTGTCTATTAAAAAGACAAGACTATTAATTGATAAATGAACATGGGGCAGACGCCTCATCATTTTTGATTTATTGACTTTGTAATAAGTAAATTTTACAAATTTGAACTCAAACACAACTACTTTTTTTGAGTTTGCATGTATTAATTTTGTGATAAGCATCATTATTAACCTAGAAAAAGAATTTTTTTCCTTTCTATGTGAGTGGATTTGGTAGACTTGTAAGATTTATGTAACTATAAAATTTTATAATTCTAGCTCTGCTACGTTATGCCATCATCCAGTGCAAGATGTGCTCAGTTTCCTCGAGCCCAGGACAAAGTTCATTACTACATTAAGCTGAAAGACTTGAGAGATCAGTTGAAAGGCATTGAACGAAACACAGACGTTCAAGAGGTGCAATATACGTTTGATCTACAATTAGCCCAAGGTGTGTTCCCGTTTTCACCCCATTTATTCATTTCATGGATCTGTACATTACAGAAAGCATGTTGTGGATTTAAAAGCAAGAGAAAAGAAAAGTTATATTTGCAGCCAAAGTGCTCTGACAATAGACATTAGTCACTGTTAAAAAATCTCCTTTTACCAAAGTCATCCAATGTGGGTACTCCTGCAGATGTTGAGGATACAAGAAACATCATAGCCCACTTGAAATTAAATCTAATAGGCTTTTACAGTTCCTATGAGTTAATTTAGTATATGTTATAAAGAGTTTAAAAGATAGCAAAAGATATATCTCAGTATACGTGAACTAGAAAAAGATTTGTTCGTGATGACTTCTGAATAAAGCTATTTTCAAAACGATTGTATAAAATCCATTTTAAATCCCTCTTACTCTCCTCACAGAGGATGCAAAGAAGATGGCTGTTAAGGAAGAAAAATACGACCCAGGTTATGAAGCAGCGTATGGCGGCGCTTATGCAGAAAATCCGTGCAGTGGCGACCCTTGCAGCTTCTCTTCTAGGGGGCTAAGTATGTTCCCCTCCATATGTGCATTCCTTTCAAATGCTTGGTTTTGTCAGGACTGGGGAAAAGGGGTGCTTTTTTGTTTTTTTTTTAAGAGAATGAATTATTGAAGCTTAGGAACGGGACCATGAAAATCTTTTCAGTGGCCGGTAGTGAAAATGTGGTGGTTATCTGATGTTCCACCACACGCGCGTGTGCAGCTGATTTTCTCTAAGTCACCGAGTCATCCTAATCGCATTCCCTCCATGAATAACAGTTGAGGGATTCTCAGTCCTGTGTCTGCCGAGAGAACAGGGATTTATCATTGTAATCAAGAAGCTTGTGTAACTATTTTAATAGCAGTTTCCCTTCACTGGACTGCTCAGACCTCCTAGTTGAATCCTGTAACGTTCTTAGATAGAATAAACTAATCCTAACATTCTTTTCCCCCCTGGCAGCTGACAGTGGAGAATCAACTTTCGGTGACATTCCAAATGGGCAGTGGATGACCGAGTCGTTTACAGACCAGATTCCTTCCTTTAATAATCATTGTGGGACGCTGGAACAAGAAGAAGGAAACCACGCTTAAGAGTGGTGTTTCTCAGCTCTTCCTAAATGCTGCAGTTTTAATGCAGTTGTCAAGAAGTGGCCCTCAGTTTGCTAACTGAGGCATTTTATTAGTATTTTACTCTGTGATATAATGATAGTACAGTTGTGTGGTAGAATCAACTGTATGAACCTAAGTAAGTTGGGAAAGAAAAAGTAGGGTTTTTGTGTATGAGTTTTTGTATTTGAATTAACCATCATTCCAGCTTTTTATAAACTATACTTCATTTATGAAGAAATTGATTTTCTTTGGGGAGTCACTTTTAATCTGTAATTTTAAAATGAAACAGTTTGAATATTTATACTTGATTATTAACTGTGCATAAACCCAGATAGACATTATTCCTTTTATGCCTAAGAAGGGCATGCTAATAATAATTACCACTGATAAAGAGGCAAATTTGTTCGTTTTTGTACATGAAGTTAACCCACAGTGGAGGCTCATTTGGTAGTTTTTAGCGGTGTTTGATGGGCTCCCTGAGTCATACTTACACTCACACCTCTTTGCCTCGCCAATGGGGAGTGTTTGTGAGAGATGCCCAGCAGTAGAAATGTAAAGTGTGGCCTTCCAGCAGCAAGGCTAGCCTGGCCTTCTCTGACGGGGCACCGAGGCCTGACTTTGACCTCGTCACCCCGGGTGTTAATCCTCTAGTACAGGTAGAAACTGTCGTGCTGGGATGGTAAGTTCCAGAGAATGCAGTAGACCTTTTTTAAGTTTGTTACTTCTTCCTCTGTGTTTTACTTGAGAGACATACATTTGATAGGGAAGGAACTGAATTTTTTGTACAATATCTATCACCATTCTGATTTTATCCTCCTCGGCTTTAAGGGTATAATGTGGAAAGTGGTGAGAAATGAACTCTTAGGTGGAGCAACAACATGCTGGAGATGTTTGATAATCTGATTTAAATTGGTGCTTTATATGTACATGAGGTATATTAAAATAACAGAATTGTTCTTGCTAGGTATATCTAATCAATAATTTAAAAAATCTCTATATCATTGTCTGTTACTGTGGACTAAGTGAGCCTCGTGGCGGGGTTAGTTTGAAGTAACGTACCTTTGTGATTTTATGCCTTTTCCATGGTGCTACAGAGTCCAGACTACTAGGCCTGGTGCATAGTAAAGCTGGGTATTCAGAAATGCCAGTGGCAGTTACTCCTGGTCACTTCTGAATATGCTGATTTCATACATACCCAGGGAGCATGCTGTTTTTCAATATGAAAATATTTATGAGTTTTTTTTTCCCTAAGAGATTATATGGCCTGTTCTCTGTATAATAAGAGAAACAAAGTCTTGTGAATCTTAACATGCTTTTTAGCTGTGGCTGTGATGGATTTTATGTATCCCTTAGTCTAGTTCAAGCTGTGTAAAAGTTATTCAGCCCATGTTATTTAACTCATGTACTGCACTGCTGTTTACACCGATGTTTTATGTGGGTGCTTGGAAGTGCCTGGCATCAGGGATTAGGAACAACTGCATTATTTTTTCATGGGACTATGTAAAGCATGTAAGTAGGAACTGCTTTGGTATACAATGATTGTAGCCTTACAATAGATTTTTTTTTTTTGAGTGGAGAAAATACCCTTTAAATTATGATGGACACTCATTGGAGAGGGGGTTTGAGGAGTTTCCCAGCATACAATAATGGTGTTTTTCATTACATATGAAAGATGAGTAGTAAATGTTGATACATCCTATACATGACAATATGGGACTTTTTCATTAAATAATATTGAAAAAGTTTTTAAATTCATTTGAAAGTCTTGATGGTTTTTACAATAAAAATATTAAGAATCAGGGCGCCTGGGTGGCTCAGTTGGTTAAGCGACTGCCTTCGGCTCAGGTCATGATCCTGGAGTCCCGGGATCGAGTCCCGCATCGGGCTCCCTGCTCGGCAGGGAATCTGCTTTGCCCTCTGACCCTATCCCCTCTCATGTGTTCTCTCTCATTCTCTCTCTCTCAAATAAATAAATAAAATCTTAAAAAAAAAAAAAATTAAGAATCATTATCCTAAGTTGCAAGTTTTTCTGCAGTAGGAGTGACTGGTATTCTTTCCCCCTTTACATGTGAGGTCGGTCTACCCTGTATTATGTTTAATGTGTAGAATAATACATATACTGAAAATCATTAGAAAATCTGCAAATATTTTATTTTTTCAGACATTCATGTTTTAAACGGAATATATTGTTTTACGAAAGACTCGCAACCTGTTAAAAAATACCTAAAAAAAGATGTGTGTGAAAAAACACATCTAGAAATTTTTAAAAATTGTGAATATAAGTTGTCATTCAGAATTAAGCAAATTGCTGAAACCGAGATGGGTTTGTTTCCTTCCAACAATACAGCTCACGCACCTCATCGTGATTTCCGTGATCCCCCCCATACTTAAGGAGTCCATGCCTGCATGACCCAGGGTACTGTTTGCACACAGCAGTCTTTGTGGTTTCCATTGTGGATCATATGTCTTGAAGGTACTATTCATAAAGAACAATGAAATAGTAGGGCTACAAATGCACAATTCCACATTTTTATGTAGGAAATACTTAAAATGTTAAGTTATATCAGCTATTGTGGTGATTGAGTTTAAATATTCCTGCAGGGTCAGGAACAAACCAGCTTTCCCATAAGTCATTGTGAACACTAGGGAAGTCCCAAGGTTTATGTCTTCCATTCCAGTGGAGTAGTTTTGCTTCCTGCAGAAAATGCTCCGAATATCTGGTATCTGGATTCCAGCCTTCATGATGTTTAAAAGAAAGTAATAGGCTTGTTAGAAAGTACAATTTTTATATTGAAAAGTGAGTACAAGTCCATTATTTTTTTTAAGATTTTATTTATCGGGGCGGCTGGGCGGCTCAGTCGTTAAGCGTCTGCCTTCAGCTCAGGTCATGGTCCCAGAGTCCTGGGATCGAGCCCTGCATTGGGCTCCCTGCTCAGCGGGAAGCCTGCTTCTCCCTCTCCCACCCCCCCCACTTGTGTTCCCTCTCTTGCTGTCTCTCTGTCAAATAAATAGATAAAATCTTAAAAAAAAAAAAAAAAAAAAGATTTTATTTATCAGAGAGAGGGAGGGGGAGAGAGGGAAGGTCCTGGGATCATAACCTGAGCCGAAGGCAGACGCTTAATGACTGAGCCACCCAGGCGCCCCTTGTTTTAGATTATCTTTCTGTGAAAGAGAATTTGATATTTTTTTAAAACTGAAAATCCCTTAATTAAGAGAGGGTGGATAGCTGGAGTTGTGTGTTAGTCCAGCTTAACATGATGCAAGAAAAAAAAAAAGCCATCTTCTATTAGAAACATAGCTGTGAAGGCGGTCGCGGAAGAGGAGCTAGGTGTTTCAGGCTGTGGTGACATAATGGGAATAATTATCAACTTCCAAAGACTCTATACAAAGGAAATGCTCATTTGGGAAGAAGCACCTTATAGTCTCCACCTGGGGACATCATCTATCTGCTCCATGATCGGAGGACTCCCTATGGGCTTGCAGTTTGCTTTTAGCTAAATATATATCATACATTTTTAAAATCTTAAGCCTACCTGCTTAGACCCAAACTTAATACCCATTAGTGTTACATTGCTTTCTGCTTCCAAAACGCCCTAAAACTGAATCATTTTTCAAATGATTTCTGTGTAGATTTACTTTGCAGACTTCCCTGATTCCAAAACCTTCACAGATGTAGTCTCTGTTCTACAAAGAAAAATGATTTCTTTCCCTTAGGAAGATTCTGCGCCTTCCTACTTACCAGTTAGATATTTCATAAAATGTGATTGAGACTCGGGCGCCTGGGTGGCTCAGTCGGTTAAGCGACTGCCTTCGGCTCAGGTCATGATCCTGGAGTCCCTGGATCGAGTCCCACATCAGGCTCCCTGCTCGGCAGGGAGCCTGCTTCTCCCTCTGACCCTCACCCCTCTCATGTGCTCTCTCTCTCTCATTCTGTCTCAAATAAATAAATAAAATCTTTAAAAAAAAATGTGATTGAGACTCTGTTCAAGATCATAGAATGCTCTAACCTTATCAATCTAAGCTCCGCATAACTATTCCTACACAACCTTTTTTATAGACCTACAACTTTGATGGGATTTTCCGCACATTCATTTCATGGAAATAATGATATTTGACCTAACAATGAACCCAACATTATTATAAATCAAACCAGATGGAACACTAGTGTCCTTAACTTCCCTGTGTTGCCTCTGTGTGCATGCAGATGCTCAGGAAAATCGAAGATTCTGGTAATGAGGCAGAAGCAAATCTGTACAGAATCATTAAGAGGAGACAGGACCCAGCTTCTATAGTTTTATGTGCCCCTTCTTTTAAAAGGGAGAGTAAGGGACATACCACCTTGCAGGTTGTTCTGAGAATTAGAACTAATATTCACCTTTGTCACCAAAACCTAGCTCAGTTCTTTACAGTGTAGAAGGTACTTAGTAAATATACATCCATAAGCCATTGTCTCCAATTCTAAAATAATGCCCAAATGTCTGAAAACAAAAGGATTTTTAATAACTTTTTTGGTAGCAAAACCTAGATCCCACTCAGAGTATTGCATAACATAAATGTATGCATCACATTACCTTTTTAAAATTCAAAAGCTTTCTCATTTCTAAACAGGTCTGGCCCAGTGCTTTTGGCTAAGGGATTGTGGCCATGTGTTTGAACGAATGTGTCTTCTGCGCCAGGCTCTGTGCTAAGCAATTTACATGTATTAGGTAATTTATTCCTTACAAAAACTTTATAAGGTTCTATTAGCTTCAGTTTACAAATGGAGAACTAAGGTACAGAAAGGTTGAATAATTTGCCCAACATAGGTAATAGCAGAGTTGGGATTCCAGTCCATATCGCAGAGCCTGCACTCCTGCCGTGAGGACTGAATAGAAGACTCACATGGTACACAGTCAGGAGTCAACTTTTTAAACGAGAAGTTTCGAGCGATCTAGATGCATCATAAACCATTATGCTAATTCGTTTGGTTTTGCCCACTGCAAGCTACTGCAAGAGGGCAATAAAGGCAAGTGAAAAAGTTCTGACAGTGAAAGTTCTATTGTAACAGTAGGTAATGTTTATTGAGCACATACTCAGTGCTAAGCATGAGTCTAACTGCTTCCCATGAATTCCTAGAAACGCACCTCTCAGGCCATTTTTATCAGCTGCATTTGTAGAATCTGAGCAACAAAGGTTAAATAATGGATGACCTCCAAGATCGCCTGGAGGATCTGAACTGAAGCAGCTGGTGCTATAGCAAACCGCCCCCCCCACCCCCCCACCCCCGGTGCTCACAGACCTGTAAGATGCACATTTGTGTTGTCTCCCTAAAATACTTACCCAGGTGCCTTATGTGCCACAGGGGGTTGATTGCAGAGTATTTCCCATGAAACACAATCAGCATTGGGGACGTGGCTACCCCTCCTCCCAGGGAGCTGCTGTAGAGATTTTCCCTAAGAAATGGAATAGAAGAGCAACATTTGGCCTCGAGCCGCAGAGACTCACATAAAGTAGAACTTACTAATTTTGAAAGATGTAAGACAGTCTCCCACTATATAGTAAGACTATAGTTTTTCATTTTCCCCCAACTTTTTATTTTGAAAATTGTCAGACTTACACAAAATTGTAAGAATACCATGAATTCCCATATAATTTGTCTAGACTCACAGCATAGCATTTTGCCATTTTAATTTTCAGCCTTTTTTTTTTTAAGATTTTATTTATTTATTTGACAGACATAGCGAGAGAGGGGAACACAAGCAAAGGGAGTGGGAGAGGGAGAAGCAGGCTTCCCACGGAGCAGGGAGCCCAATGTGGGGCTTAATTTTCAGCCTTTTTTATGGCAAATACAGAAGATCAAATTCTGATCCTACATTATGTAGAATAACTACTTACAAATTCAAGGTTATGATGGCATTTAAAATACCCGGATAAAAAAGGTGGACAGGAAATAAAACGACACGATAATAGTGGTTGTGTTAGAGGGGTTTTTTTTCTCTATTTTAAAACTTCGATAATGAAAAATGATACATTTTTAAAAATTCAACCTTCAAAAACAAAGTTGAGTTTATAAAATCATTCTTAAAAACGAATCTATGGGGGCACCTGGGTGGCTCAGTCGTTAAGCGTCTGCCTTCGGCTCAGGTCATGATCCCAGGGTCCTGGGATCAAGCCCCGCATCGGGCTCCCAGCTCTGCGGGAAGCCTGCTTCTCCCTCTCCCACTCCCCCTGCTTGTGTTCCCTCTCTCGCTGTCTCTCTCTGTCAAATAAATAAATAAAATCTTAAAAATATATATCTTTAAAAATAAAAAAAAAAACAAACGAATCTATGTAAGAAGGAGATGCCAACTGAGATAAATGATTTTCAGTGGAGAAGGTTCACTAGGCTTCTAGGAGAAGATTTAAAATTACATTATTAATTCATTAGAAAAATGTTTGCATAATAAGATTCTGCAGGATCTCGCTTCTGCTGACATACCGTCTGAGACTAGATTTTCATCTGTTGTCCCCATTCTTTCTCATCAGTGCCTCTGTAAGAAAATCTGATCTAAGATGTCTGTGAAATATTTCTAACCCGAGTTATGCATAGAAAATTAATTGAATAATTCTGTCGCCAAGCATGGAAAATGGTAGAGAGGTTTACACATACTCCACATTTTTTTGCATCCACTTCTCCAGTTGTTTGGTGATGCGCTGGTGCTTCCATTCCGTCATGTTGACCACAATCACACCCGGGTTGAAAGAGCAAGTGCTGGGGCTTATGCCAAGGTCTTTTATAGTCTTCTTCCGGTAGTCCAGATAGCCCATGTATGTATTCTAGAAAGGAACGGGATACGCTTTTGAACAGATCTTTTGTTTCTGAAAAATAGTCATTTTCCTGAAACAACCATGCAGTATTTCTGTGTTTCCTGCTGTGTCCCCAGCCACTTCCTAGCGTCCCCGGCTGGTTTTCTCCCTTCCCCAGCCTCTCTTCCAGCACCTGTTCCTGTCTCTAGCAGTAACTCCCTCGACAGCCTTATCCAGTCTCATAGCTCAAAATGCTATCCGCGTAGCCGGCCCCGACATCTCTGGATTCCCAACTCCTGCCACATCTGCCAACTCTGTCTCCTGGAGGCTTAACAAGGCAGCTCCCCTTACATCCAAACACGGATCCCAGTCCTGTCCCAAACCTGCTTCCCGACAATCTGCTTCACCTCAGTTACTGGCAACTCTATTCTTCCAGATACTTAGGCAAAAAACCCAGGGTCGTTAGGTCCTCCGGCTCCTTCTCATTCACTTTTCATCCAAATCCGTCAGCAAATCCTGTTGGTCTCGTCTTCCAAACTACACTGTCTACACGGCTACCTTCCCGGTCCAGGCTGTCATTACCACTCACAGGATTTCTGCAAGCTCCTCCTAAACTCTTCCTGCTTCCACCCTTTTCAACTCCACTCTGTCTCTGTCACTCATCTGCTCAAAGCCTCTCCAGTGGCTTCCCATCTCACAGTAAAAGCCCGAGTTCCTACAATGGGCTGCCACGCCCTGTGCCCTCTGCCCCCACTGCCATTACCTTTTTAACATCTGTTCTTGCCCCGCTTTCCTCCGCCACACTGATCTCCTTGTTCCTTCCATACAAGAAAGACACACTCCAGCCTCAGGGCCTTTGAACTTGCCATTACCTCTCCTTGGACTGTTTTTCCCCTAGATATCTGCTGAGGTGGTTCCCTCAGTTCTTTCAGGTGCAGGCTCAGCGACACCACCTCAGGGGAGCCTTCCCCGATCACCCAATTTAACAAACAGCCCGCCCTGCACCCTGATCCTCTGTTAAATACTTTGTTTACTGTCTCTTCCCACCAAAATGTAAGCTCCACAAAGGCAGGAATTTGAGTTTTGTTTACTGTCTCACTGGTACCTAAAACAGTGTCAGGCACACAGGGAGTTGCTGAATGGGAGTGACATGAGGCAGGACATACTGTCTCACCTGCACGGGCTGTCCTAACCCACCTCGGTGTGATGCTCGAAGGTAACAGGGAAATAATGGAAACACTTGAGCAAATTCTGGGCACCAGGCAGTTCTGGGAACTTTGCACACATTACCCCATTAATTGCACGCAGTCCCTTTCCATGGATTAACTAATTTAATTCTCACAATAACTCTACAAGGGAAGTACTCTTCCTCTGTTGAACAACTGAGGGAGAAGATGATTGGTAAGTAACTGGCCCAGGGTTACAAACCTACTAAGTGACAGAGCCGAGCTTTTGACCGATTCGGGGGTGGCCTGAAAGCCGACGCCTCAAAGTGTGTCACATCTCTATTGTCACACATATAAAATTATTTCCTGGAACTTTTTTTTGGAGAACAGCATTTGATTTTTAACACCACCTTGTATTTTAAAGCCATCCTTTTGGCTTCAGTATTCCATATAGGTTCAACTTTCCTCATTTCCTCCAGGGTAAGGAGCTCTTTACCCTTGAGGAAAATCAGTATTTTCCTCCATTGAAAGGGGATGGGGGAAAGCGATGATCACAACTCTGAAAACAGAACCCAAAGTTCAGGGAGTCTCTTACAGTAAACCGACATCTCGGACAGAGAGTGTGGTTCCAGCCACCTACAGAACAAGGGTCCCTTCTGGAGCATTACTGCAGGCTGGAACTTGGGCATCATGTTACAAAAACAGAACAAAACAGGTACTATTGTTGCCGTGTTTCAGACAAGGAGAGCGGGACTTGCAGGGTTATCTTGCCCCAGCCTTGGTACGCACAGAGCTGGGGTGGAGCGGGCAGCCAGGCCCCTCCCGGGCAGGGTTCTCCCGGGTTAGATTATCGTGAGCTGTGGGGAAGGGAAGGGAGGAGAGCAGCAGGGCGAAGGCAGGACCTCCGAGCAGCAAGCCCACCTGCAGCCCCACAAATCTGTTCATGTCCTGAGCCGAGGGCAAATCGCAGTCACCCGAGAAAGCTGCCGCGTGGCCCAGGGCCAAGGTGGTGTCATAGAGTTCTTGGATATCACCTGAATTTAGAAACACCAGGAGTTAAAATATTATAGCATTTGTTTTAGAGCCAGAGAGAGCCTTAGAATGTCAAACAGTCCCCGGCTTTGCTGTAGAGGAAAAGTATGTGATCCCAATTTCAAGTGGCCTGGTGATTGACTTAATAACCTAGCTGGTCTCCGTTCAGAAAGCCACTTGATGGTAAGCTCGGATCGGCACTGGGCCGATTTCTTTACTTCTGTTGCCATGTAGCTTCCACACCTGTGCTCATCTTATTTGAACATGGGAGACAGAAAGCAACACTGAAACACCCAAACTTAGCTCACTTCTCAGAATGTCATCAGGGAGACTTTATTGCCCTACATTCTAGGGATGCAGAGAAAGGGAAGGCTACTAGGTTTCTTATTGCTGACTTTGACAGCGTGGCTCTCAGAAGGTCAGCTGGACTGTCCAGGGAAGTGAGAATCCACCCCTGTTTTCAAACTATTCCCACACTTACAACACTACTATTCTCCCCACTTGAATACACAAGTCAAAATCACTGGGCGCTTAGCTATTTGGAAAATGAAGAAGGGAAGTCGTTCTACTTATCCGCTGCTCCTTTTCCGAGGGTTCTTGGCAGTCAGCGAGTATACCTTGCACAATGACGTCATCGTCCAAATAGATGACTTTCTCATGTCGATGGATAAGCAGAGGGAGATAAAATCGAACAAAGTTCAGCTGTTAAAACAACAAAAGAAGCGATGGTGGGGAGGAGGCTTGTGGCTCCGCGTCTCCCAGCGCCGGAGCGGTGGCTCTGACCTTGGCCTCAGCTCAGCTCCGGGTGCGGAGCAAGATACGACGCGCCGCGGAGATGCCTCACCGCCGCGTCCCGGTGCGCAGGGACGGGGGCCCGGGGCCGCAACCAGCGCTGGCAGATCAGCGCCCTCTTGGTCCGAACCCCCAGCTGCCCACACGGAGACGGGACGCCTGCCCCTCTGTGAGCCGCTACAGCGGGGCTCACAGGCTTCCTTCCTGGGCAGTCTTTCAGGCCACGAATTGCCTGCTCTCCTCTACACCGGCAATTTGACTGCTGTCAACTCAATCAGCCCCACGCGCGCGCCCACGGACGCACACGGGCACGAGGCGTCCCAGCCGCAAGTTCAACCTCTTAGCTCCTCGGACCAGAAAAAAGTCAGACAGGCAGGAGCGGAGGGTGGGAGTCAAACAGTTTGATTAGCCGCACCACTTAATCCAAAATCCCATCTCAGCTCACGCTCTGATAATAAATATAAGGAACTGGGAAAAGATCACGTCATCGAAGGGCTCAGAATTCAGTACATTTTCGAGGATGGATTTCAGTAACAGCTCTATGTAGAGGGTGGCTACATTTTCTGTGAACCCGCCATCAACCCTACTTTTTATGCAAGAAAGAGTCCCTTTTGTAAGAACGCTTGCAGTAAAATACCTTAAGATTCCCAATGCTAGGGAAAACAGTGGATGTCTCCTGCAAATATCTTAGTTGATCCTATGAGGTATATAATCAACCATGCTACTGTTTTTCCTTAGCTACTGGGATACTCAGCTAAATTTAATGTCCAATTGCAGTACACACAACAGCCTGTGGCTTGGGAATATTTTTTCCAGGCCTCACTATTTGGCCCCTACCCCCACCCCCTACAGGCATATTCACACACAGAAATGCATCCCACATTTTCTTACGCTTCATTTCTTCTTTAATAGCTTCATTATATTTATGTAAACCATTTTAAATCCTTCTGGAGCAGGTGGCTTATAAATTATAAATAAGCAGAGCTTGGTGGAGAGCTAACACTGCTTCAGAAATATTCCATCCGCATCCCAGTGGCCAGTGCTCCACACTGAGCAAGGGCCTCACCAAAGACTGTCCCCAGCACGTGCGTGTTTCCTACTCACAGGCTGGAGCAGTTCAGGCCTCGATGAATCTGGTCTGATCTTCCCTTTGAGGACTATAGGGTTGAATTCCAGGACTTTAAAGTTTATTTCCCTTAGTTTAGAATGTTCGATCCATTTTCTAAAGAGATGACAAAAACACACACACACACACACAAAGAAAGCTCTAGTTATACACCTCCAACCTTTCTTCACTTTGCCTATGGCTTCAGAGTCAATCTGTTGCCTCCTTAGAAAGTTAAGAATAAAATGTGTAAACCTTAGAGTTTAGTCTATAATAATCTTTCTGATTTTTTTTTCTCTATCTGGTCTGGCCTCAACTCTTTCCTCTTTTTTTCCTTTAATTTGCATAACTCTGCAAAGGAAATGAAGCAAAATAGTAATAACCAAATATCTCCCCAGATCCTCATAATCTCCACAGGAAACTGGAAGAACAAAAATGTTCCTGCCATGGGCTAACAGATTTATCAAGTTATGAAGCAGGACATTCTGAATCTTCTACTCAAGGGAAGTAATTCTTACTCTGCTGTTTGGACGCCAAGGATGATTTGAAGTTATCCTCGTCCCTCAGTCTCTGTCTCTCACTGTTCCCCACCTGTCCTCGCTTCCCACCTTCTCCTCCTCCTTGTCCCCACCCTCTGCCCTCATGTTCTCTCAGTCTTACACAATGTATGACTATCTTTTATCCAAACGATAATACAATTCTTGGTAGAAATGATCTCAAAATACGATTGTCACTGACTAAAGCGTTTGTTGTTGCTCAAAAATCAACAAAAGAGTTGATCTTCTGAATAACATTGAGATCTGCAAAATTTGAACCATAAAAGCCTGTCATTTACACAACGTTATATGTTAATTATAGCTCAATAAATCCGGAGGGGGGTAGAAGTCATGTTAACAATGGCAATAGACTCATGCATGCACATCTAAGTGGCCAAGAAATGTGGGGAAAACAGTGCTCAAACTCATTAGAAATAAAAGGATCTCAAGTTAAACCACAGTGAGATAGCCTTGGACACCCGTCTGAATGGCAAAGTTAAAAAGACTGACCATCCCACGTCGGGGTGGTAGTTGTTACATGGGTATGTTTACTTTGTGATGACTCACTAAGCTGTACACAGGATTTAGGCAATATTCCGTTTTTGTATTATACTTCAATGAAAAGAGGGTTTTTTGTTTTTAATTATTTAAAACAGGGGGGTAGTGGGCTACACAACCAAGAGCTGGGAGACAGTTCCTGCTCAGCCCTGGAGCTCATGCCTTTTGTTCAAATACAAACCCTTGCTCAGAACATACTACACATGCTACCGTTTGGGGTTTGGTTATCCGGTTTTCATACCCACGGATAATGACAGGGCTGTTAACAGTAGGCTAAGGGAACAATCTCCAATAATAAATGATAAGAAGAGTGAGAAATGAGAGAGAAAATCTAGAACATAAACATAAGCCCTCAAAACCCACAGGAGCCAAGGACCATTTAGATTAGGAGCAAGTGTCTTCCATATCTCAGTACCTCCTAATAATGCTAGGACTTAAAAATCTAATTGTAAAAGTCATACATAGATACATTCTCTGAGAGCCTGGCTAGCTCAGTTGGAAGAGCATACAACTCTTCATCTTGGGGTCATGAGTTCAAGCCCCACATTGGTGGTAGAGATTACTAAGATAAATAAACTGAAGAAAAATAAATTCTTTCTTCCTTTTTTTATTTTATTTATTTATTTGAGGGAGAGAACAAGTGAGAGAGAGCACAAACGGGGGAAGGGGCAGAGGAAGAGGGAGAAGCAGGCTTCCTGCTGAGCAAGGAACCCAACACGGGGTGATCCCAGGACCCTTGGATCATGACCTGAGCTGAAGGCAGACACTTAACTGACTGAGCCACCCGGGTGCCCCATTCTCCTTCCGAATAATGGAAATAACACTTGAAATACCTTGAACTTCCCTTCATCACTGCTCTCCCCAGTCCCTCCATCCTCCCCAGAGGTGGCCACTGTTAACAGATGGAGATCTTTTAGGTCTTCTTCTTTACAGAAACACATATACGTACATGTACACATTTATAGTTTGGGTTGTTTTTAAGATTTTTAAAAAAGATTTTATTTATTTATTTGACAGAGAGCACAAGCAGGGACATGGCAGGCAGACGGAGGGGGAAAGCAGGCTCCCCACTGAACAGACAGTCCCACATGAGGCTTGATCCCAGGACCCTGGGATCATGACCTGAGCCAAAGGCAGACGCTTAACCAACTGAGCCACCCAGGCACCCCTCTTTTTCCTTAAGATTTTATTTTTAAGTAATCTCTACACCCAATGTGGGGCTCGAGCTCACAACCCTGAGATCAAGAGTCGCATGCTCTACCAACCAAGCCAGCCAGGCGCCCCTGTTTTTTTTTTATTATTATTATTTTTAAAGCTATAAACTGAATGTTTTTGTCCCCCGTCCCCAAATTCATATGTTGAAATCTAATCCCCAGTGTGATGGCATTTGGAGGTGTGGCCTTCAGAAGGTGATCAGGTCCTGAGGGTGGAGCCCTCATGAACGGGATTAGTGCCCTTATGAAAGAGACCCCAGTGAAATCTCATACCCCTTCCACCATGGGAGGACACAACAAAAATGCACCCCTCTATGAACCAGCTAGCAGGCCCTTACCAGACATGGAATTGGCTGGGACCTAGATCTTGGGCTTCACAGCCTCCAGAACTGAGAGAAATACATTTCTATTTTTATAAGCCACCCAGTCTGGGGCTTTCTGTTATAGCAGCCTGAATGGATAAGACATTCGTAAAATGGATTATACCATGTAAGATGTATGGCAATGTGCATCTTCCACTTAACAATATGCCTCGAAGATCTTCTTTGTCAGTATACCCACATGGCCTTCTTTCTCTCTCTCTCTTTTTTTTTTTTAATTTTATTTATTTGACAGAGAGAGCACAAGCAGAGGGAGAGAGAGGGAGAAGCAGGTTTTCTGCTGAGCAAGGAGCCTGATGTGGGACTCAATCCCAGGACCCTGGGATCATGACCTGGGCTGAAGGCAGCCTCTTAACCGACTGAGCCACCCAGGCGTCCCACCTTCTTTCTCTTTTAATAGCTGGATCATATTCCATAGTTCATTTCAATATTCTTCTATTGATGGACATTTAAGCAGTTAGCAATTTTTTTGCTATTTCATATAATGCTGAAATTAACACTGTTGTACCTATATTTTGGTAGTATGTATTAGAATTGCTGTAACAGGGGCGCCTGGGTGGCTCAGTTGGTTAAGCGACTGCCTTCGGCTCAGGTCATGATCCCAGGGTCCTGGGATCGAGTCCCACATCGGGCTCCCGGCTCAGCAGGAAGCCTGCTTCTCCCTCTCCCACTCCCCGTGCTTGTGTTCCTGCTCTTGCTGTCTCTGTCTCTGTCAAATAAATAAATAAAATCTTTAAAAAAAAAAAGAATTGCTGTAACAGATTCCTAGTAGTGGAAATGGTATGGTGAGTCAAACTATATATGCATACAACATTTTTTAAAAATTTAAATTCTAGTTAGTTAACATACAGTGTAATATTATTTTCAGGTGTACAATATAGTGATTCAACACTTTCATAGAACACCAGTGTTCATCATGACAAGTGCACTCCTTAATCCCCATCTCCTGTTTCACCCATCCCCTCACCCACCTCCCCTCTGGGAACCAGCAGTTTGTTCTTTATAGTTAAGAGTCTGTTTCTTGGGGCACGTGGGTGGCTCAATTGGTTAAGCAACTGCCTTCGGCTCAGGTCATGATCCCGGAGTCCCGGGATCAAGTCCCACATCGGGCTCCCTGCTCAGCAGGGAGTCTGCTTCTCCCTCTAACCCTCCTCCCTCTCATGCTCTCTGTCTCTCATTCTCTCTCTCGCAAATAAATAAAATCTTAAAAAAAAAAAAATTAAAAAAAAAAGAGTCTGTTTCTTGCTTTGTCTCTCTCCCTTTTTTCCTTTGCTCATTTTTTTTGTTTCTTACATTCCACATATGAGTGAGATCATATGGTATTTGTCTTTCTCCAACTGACTTATTTCACTTAGCATAATACAATCGAGCTCCATCCACATCATTGCAAATGGCAAGATGCCATTCTTTTTTATGGCTGAATAATACTCCATTGTATATACACACCACATTTTCTTTATCCATTCATCTATCCAAGGACACTTGGGCTGCTTCCTTGATTTGGCTATTGTAAATAGGCTACTATAAATGTAGGAGTGCATGTATCACATTGAGTTAGTGTTTTTGTATTTTGGGGGTAAATACCCACTAGTGCAATTCCTGGACTGTAGGGTAATTTTATTTCTAACTTTTTGAGGAACCTCCATACTGTCTCCCACAGTGCTGCAGCAGTTCTATGGATATCAAATTTTATTAGACATTGCCATATTGCTCTTTCAAAATGCTTTACCAATTTACAAAGTGTACATTGTTTAAATAAAGAATGAGCATGGGGCGCCTGGGTGGCTCAGTCGTTAAGCATCTGCCTTCGGCTCGGTCGTGATCCCAGGGTCCTGGGATCGAGTCCCACATCGGGCTCCCTGCTCGGCAGGAAGCCTGCTTCTCCCTCTCCCGCTCCCCCTGCTTGTGTTCCTGCTCTCGCTCTCTCTCTGTCAAATAAATAAAAAATAAAAAAAAAAATAAAGAATGAGCATGTCCATTTTCTTGCAGTGGATATTGTTGTCCTATTTAATTTTTTACCATCTCGATGACTGCAAAATTATATGTCATTGTCATTTTAATTTGCATTTCCCTGTGAGTAACACAGAATACCGTTTCATGTTTGTTGACCGTTTGTATTTTTTCTTCTATGAATTATTTGTTTGTATTCTATTTGTTTGTATTTCTATTTTTCTACTAGATGTTTATATGCTTAAAAATTTTTTGTGAGAATTCTTTTTATACTTTGGATAGTAATCCTTCATCTATAATACATGTTGAAAATATTTTGCCTCATTTATTGTATGATTAATTTCACTTACAGTATTTTTCATCATTTAAAAATGTTTAGGGGCACCTGGGTGGCTCAGTCAGTTAAGCATCTGCCTTCAGCTCAGGTCATGATCCCAGATCGAGGCCCTCTTCTGGCTCCCTGCTCAGCAGGGAGTCCGTTTCTCCCTCTCCCTCTGCCCCTCCTCCAGTTCATGCGCTCTCTCTCTCTCTCTCTCAATAAATAAATTAATGCAATCTTTAAAATAAATAAATAAAGTCTTTGTTAATTCCAACATCTGGGTTCTTTTAAATAAATAAATAAATAAATAAGTTTTTAAATGTTATGCAGTAAAATCTGTCCATTTTTTTCCTTATGGTTTTGGGACTCACAGAGTCATTTTCCATAACAAAATTATATAATTATCCTGCATTTTTATAATACTTTAAAATTTGATTTTCTGTTTATTTCTTTTAAATCCATTTCCAACTTATTTTTTTAGTGTGTTGTGTGATAGGAAACAGATGGCTTTGCAGTTCAAAAATTATAATAATGGGGGGCGCCCGGGTGGCTCAGTTGTTAAGTGTCTGCCTTCGCTCAGGTCATGGTCCCAGAGTCCTGGGATCGAGCCCCACATCGGGCTCCCTGCTCCGTGGGAAGCCTGCTTCTCCCTCTCCTGCTCCCCCTGCTTCTGTTCCCTCTCTCACTGTGTCTCTTTCTGTCTAATAAAGAAATAAAAAAATCTTTATAAAAAAATTATAATAATGGGGTGCCTGGGTGGCTCAGTCAGTTAGGCATCTGCCTTTGGCTCAGGTCATGATCCCAGGGTTCTGGGATCAAGCTCAGCGTCCATCTCCCTGCTCAGGGGGGAGCCTGCTTCTCCCTCTCCTGCCCCTCCCCCCTGCTTTTGCTCGCTCTCTCTCTTTCTCACTCTATCGCAAATAAATAAATAAATTCTTTAAAAAATTATAATTAGTGATGATTCTGGGTCATATTAAAATGATACTATATTACTATCCTTCCAGGTTAAGAAAGCAGAGAAAAGAGAAACCATTTTAGAAAGAAAGCCTTCCACATAACCTGCTTAAGGACTGCAATTCTTTGGTTCATTAGCCAATTCACTTCAGCAGAACGATGCCTTGCCCAACCAGATTAATGAGGCTTTGCTGCAACTTCCTTAGCGAGGCAACACATTCGTCAGGTCACCAAGTAAACCTCAGGTCATCCTCTCATTAATTCAAATGACATGTATCAAACCCAAAACATAGGGAAATCCATTTAAGGAAAGATAAGAAAGATGAAAAAAAAAAAAAAGTAGAAAACTCCAAAGTCTACAGTGCACAAATTACCGGATTCGAGACAGAGTGTTCCGGAGCCCAACGACGTAGAACAGAATGTTGGCATCAGTGTTGCTGTAGATGCTGTTGATGGCAGCCATGGTGGCACCCATTCTCCCTGCCGCGGCACAAATCACCACAGGAATCTCCTCCTCCATTTCCTCAGGAGGCTCGGAGTCATCCTCTGGAAGCATCAAAATCAGTGTCTTTGAGAACATGAAGGAATTTCACAGTAGGGCCAGGTGTCTTCCACACTCCTGGGGAAGACAGCATAGTGCAGAAGAGACCCCAGCTGTTCTCCAACACCAGGCTCTTCCTCTCTTAGAAAGAGAACACTGGAATTTTAGCTGGCACACAGCCAACCACGATTCTCAGACTCCCTCGCAAGTCTGTGTGATCAAGTTCTGACCAGTGGGAGGTTAGTGCAGGTATGTGTGCGGCTACTGGGTTTGCCTTTAAAAGCAATGTGCTGGCCTCCCCTCTTCCTTTCCCCTTCCCGTTGTCTGGAATGGGGATATGATGACAGGACTCAGGGCAGCCATCTTGGGCCCCAAGAAGGAAGCTACTTGGGGAGGACACCAAAACCCTAGGAGAGAAGGAATCTTGATCTGGATGATGGTAGAAAGGAAGGACGCATCACACTTTTACCTTGAGAGAGAAAATAAACCTCTGTTTTGCTTCAGCACTATTATTTTGGAGCTTTCTTACAGAAGCCAATCAGATAGCCTAACACAGATACACAGTTGAAAAATATGTGAAGAACTGAAAGCCTCATTCGATTCGACAGTTCCTCAGCTCCTCAACTCTTTCCTAAACTGGGATATTTATCCTGCCTGGGCTGCTATGAAATCTACTGCTTGTGATCTTCCTTCTCTTACCCACCCTCTAGTCAGGTGTCTGGAAATTTGACAGCAAGAGAAAGGAGGTACATGAAAGAGCATGACTAATGTACAGGATGAGTAATTGATTGTTCTCTTGAGCTGTGGCTGTGGTATAAAATACTGGTGATGTAACATCATATTCTGGCACCACAATATGGTTTTCCAGGATGAAGGATAATAATTATCAGTATGTAGAGTACCCACAATCAGATGCCCTTCTGGTTTTTACTTAAAGCTCGCTCTCTCTTTACAGATACTTTTTGCAAAATACCACTCAGATGCAGGGCAGTTCTAGCTGATATTTAATCCAACAAATATAGATTAAACTAACTACCAGGACCTGTGCTTTGTATAACTTAAGGAACATGGAAGGGTCTACCGCTTCTCCTCCTATGTCTCTTCACAGGCTGGCCACCACACTGGACATGTGTACCACGAGACTAAGTTTGTTTCCACAGTATCTTTACTGACATGAGAGAATGCTCATAATACAATGTTAAGGGGGAAAATAATACAAAATTCTCTCTAGTATTTGGTGCACAAAATCACCACACAAATCTCATCTAGCATATTATCCCAATGTGATATATACAGACATACATATTTTCAAATGGATCTACATCTGTTTACGGAATTATGAGTGATTTCAATTTCCTTATTTGCATCTCTTGTGTTTTCCAAATTCTCTAAAGTAACTATGGTTACTTTTATAAACAAAAAAGAAAATATTTCTCTTTTTTTAAAGATTTTATTTATTTATTTGACAGAGAGAGACACAGTGAGAGAGGGAACACAAGCAGGGGAAGTGGGAGAGGGAGAAGCAGGCTTCCCGCCAAGCAGGGAGCCCGATGCGGGGCTCGATCCCAGGACCCTGGGATCATGACCTGAGCTGAAAGCAGACGCTTAATGACTGAGCCACCCAGGCGCCCCGAAAGAAAATATTTCTTAAGGGATTATTCCTTTTGGACTAAACTGTCATCTTGGGGAGGTTTCCTAATCATGTGGCATGTTACTTTCAGGCAGTGAAGTGAACTGCCCCAAATGCAAATCTGACTATATTTCTTCACTGCTTCCCATCCTTCAGGGGTTCCCATAAGGTAAAGCTACCTTCCTTTGCCTGGCACACAGGGTACCTCACGATCCAGCCCCTGCTCACTTCCCTAGCTTTGACTCCTTCCATTCCAGCAATACCAAACTACTTGTGGTCCCCTGAACACTGCACCAGGCAGGTTGTCCCTTTCCTCAGTGCCTTTGCACACACCGTTCCTGATGCCTGGAACGTTCCTTCCATCTTTTCCTGCATGGCTAACTCTGACACCATCAGACTAGATCAGACCCTCTGGGAAGCCTTAACAGCTCCTTACACAAATTAGCTCACCCCCTATCTGTGCTCACTTTGGTCTTGTTTGTGGCTGGATTTATCAGCTGCATTGCAATTTTTTTGGTTGCATGTCTTTCCTTTCTCTCTCATTACTTTGGGCGCTCCATGAGGGCCGGGACAGTATCTTGTTCATCTCTGTCTGCTCACTTGCAGCTAGCATAGTGCCTGGGACATGGTAGATTCCCAATCCACTTTGGAGGGAGGGAGGGATGAATGGATGGATGAATTTATTAAATACCTCTCCTTGAGCACTTACCCCACTGCACACAAAGCATCTATTCATGTGTCTGTCTCCCCCGCTAGACTGTGAGCTCATTATATTATCCCCGTGGAGTCTGGCACCTAGGAAGCACTTAATAAAAGTTTGCTGGATTTAACTGAACTGATGTGTAGATCTTACAGAACAGGGCTTTGGAGGAATGATTCCTGGACTACTCGTAGGCGCAAAGAAAGAGAGAGAAGGGTTGGAAAGCTGGGGCAGAGCCAGCCTGTCAGGCAACAGGTGTAATAAGGGAGGAGGAAGGTATCCCCAGGAAATAGGGTCACCCCAAGAGGACAAACACCAAGTTTATAGCTCATACTGCCACACTTCTTAGGAGCCTCTGCCAGTCAGGGGAGCTGGAAGCTAACCTAAGCCAAAAACACTGCTCTCTGCCAAGAAGTCTTCCCTGGACAGAATATGGATGAAGGCACACTGGAGAAAGGGGAGGAAAGATTTACCAACTGTAAATTCTTCACGAATGTTTCATCCTTGCAGCTTCTTGGGGGAATCATCCACTGTTTTTGAATCTGTTGTGCCAATTGGTGCCTAAGCCAATTCATCAAAATATTTAGCTGTTTGGTGCCCTAAAATCTCTAAGAAAACACCATACTGATGGCAGTATGGACTAGAAATGTATTCCATTGCACTAGTCCGTTCCCACAAGCAGCACTTATCAGAACACGCCCATTCCTAGAAAAAGTGAAATGTCTGCTCTCTCAACGCCAAGTCTCTGAATCCCATGTCAAATTAGGATCTTTTTAGCCAATCGTGTAAACTTGCCTCACTTCAAATGGGCCAGGAGTTAATCACCAGCTAAATTATCAGGAGCTTACATCAAATGTCATTATCAGGAGAATACACAAAATGGCACTATGCTTTTCTTCAGCATGTGACTTTACAGGGCTTCTGGACATTACCTTATACCACTAGTTCTTTGAATTACTGTCTTGGAAAATAGAAAAGTTAATATGGAATAGGTGGAGCACAGAGGAGTTTCACTGATTCTATTTTCTAGAATGGTAGATAAATGTCATTATACATTTCTCACAGCGCATGTACAATACCAGGAGTGAACCCGAAAGGTGTAAACTGTGGACACTGGATGAGAATGACGTGCCCGTGAAAGTTCATCACTTGTCACTAATGTACCATCTGGCAGGGGATGGTTTCTGTTTGTTTGTTTTTTAAGATTTTATTTATTTAAGAGAGAGAGACACAGCGAGAAAGGAAACACAAGCAGGGGGAGTGGGAGAGGGAGAAGCAGGCTCCCCGCTGAGCAGGGAGCCCGATGCGGGGCTCGATCCCAGGACCCTGGGATCATGACCTGAGCCGAAGGCAGATGCTTAACAACTGAGCCACCCAGGCGCCCCAAAAATAAAGTCTATTAAAAATATGAGTATGCACTTCTTGGAAAGAATTCCAGGGGCACCTGGGTGGCTCAGTCAATTTAAACGTCTGCCTGCAGGTCGTGATCCCGGAGTCCCAGGATCGAGCCCCGCATGGGGGTCCCTCCTTCTCCCTCTGTCCCTCACCCTGCTCCTGTTCTCTCTCTCTCTAAGTAAATAAAAAATCTTTAAAAAAAAAATTCCAGCCCCAAATTCCAATAAACCCTGATGATTTTCTTCAGACCTCTCCACTCCCATTCCAAAGGCAGATCTCTGTTACGGGTGCAGTGTGTGCCTCTCAAATCCTTCTTCATGTTATTCCAAAAGGAAATATACCACTTACATGTATTATTTTAAAACCAAAATGAAACCATACTTTTCACGGTTTTCTGCAACTTGGCATTTTCCACTTAACATAGCACAGATGTCTTTCCATGTCAACACTATATTCTTTTGAATAGTAGTTCATAACACTGATTCTTTTTTTTTTAAATGTTTTTTTTTTTTAAAGATTTTATTTATTTATTTGGGACAGAGAGAATGAGAGACAGAGAGCATGAGAGGGAGGAGGGTCAGAGGGAGAAGCAGACTCCCCGCCGAGCAGGGAGCCCGATGCGGGACTTGATCCAGGGACTCCAGGATCATGACCTGAGCAGTCGCTTAACCAACTGAGCCACCCAGGCGCCCTGATTCTTTTTTATTCAACACTGCATGGGATAAAAATGTGACACTGGACCCATTCATGTGCTCCAAACACTTTGTTAATTGGTATATGGCTAATGAACGAGCCAGGATGTGCATTTCCTTGCAGTTGTTTTAACAGCTGTTACAAAAGCTATTCATTTCTCTCTGTGGAGAAAGGAGTTTGCTGCGGGATTCAACTGGCCAAATGTGCTGGTTTATGGGCAGGGAGTGAATGAAGGGTGAGGAGGAAAGAACTTGAAGTTCAGACAACTTTTGACCTTGTATGGCTTCCTTCCTCTATTGAGGCATAATTTATTGTTATGGACTGAATTGTGTAAATTCATATATTGAAGCCCTAACCCCTAGTACTTCAGAATGTGACTGCATTCGAAGACAGAGCCTTTAAAGAACAATTAAGTGAAAAATGAGGCTTAGCGTGAGGCTTAATCTAGTGTGACTGGTGGCCTTATAAGAAGAGGCAGGGACATCAGAGATGTAAACACTCAGAAAAGGTCATCTGAAGACACAGGGAGAACTGTGAGCCTAGAAGAGAAGTCTTGGGAGAAACCAATGCTGTGAGCACCTGGATCTTAGACTTCCAGCCTCAAGAGCTGTGAGAAAATAAATTTCTTTTGTTTAGGCCACCTAGTCTGTGGTATTTTGTTAAGGCAGCCTAGGCTAATACAGATTTCTTAAAATTTGGAGATCTGGGAATTTTCTTAAAATTTCCTACTGTAGGCATACAGTTCCATGATTTTTAGTAAATTGATAGAGTTGCACAACCACAATCACCATTTTAGAACATTTCCACCTCCGTGAAAAGTTCCCTTAAACTGGGTTGCAGTCAATCCACTCCCGCTCCCAGGCCCAGGCAACCACAGCTCTCTTTTATGTCTCTGTAGATTTACCTTTTCTAGAAATTTCTATACACGAAATTGTATAATATGTGGGCTTTCAGGTCTGGCTTCTTTCATGTAGCATAATATCTGTGAGGTTTATCCACAGGGGAGCGCATATTACTGTGTTCCTTTTTATTGTTGAAAAGGACTCCACTGTGTCAATATACTACATTTTATTTACTCACTAGTTGATTCACATGTGGATTGTTTCCAGTTTGTGGCTACAAAGAATAATTCCTAGAAACATTTGTATACAGGTCTTTATGCGAAGTTATTCTTTTTCCAGATGCTCCTCATGTTCATTTAGACCAGATTACATATGTTTTTAACTGTTTTTTGTTTTTTTGAGAGAGACAGAGAACGAGAGAGAGTATGAGAAGGAGAAAGGGACAGAGGGAGAGGGAGAAGCAGACTCACCACTGAGCAGGAAGCCCCATGTGGGGCTTGATCCCAGGACCCTGGGATCATGACCTGAGCCAAAGGCAGATGCTTACCTGACTGAGCCACCCAGGTGCCCCTTAACTGTTTTTTTTTTAATGAATTTTTTATATTAAGATAAGTCAGCTTTGTGAGAACAGGGACATTGTTTTTTTTTCACTGTTGTATGTCCAGTGCCTAAGCTGGCTTAAGAAAAATAGTGTGAGATGAATGTATATAATGCACCAAATATTAACTGTATTTGTCTTTGCCTGATACGGCAACAGGTAATATTTTTTCTCTTCTGCATTTTCCATAAATGTATTTGTTTGATTAATATAAAAATTAAATTATCTAAAAATAGGAGCATCTGGCTGGCTCAGTTGGAGGAGTGTGAGACTTTTGATCTCAGGGTTGTGAGTTTGGGCCCCACAGTGGGTGTAAAGATTACTTAAAAATAAAATCTTTATAAATAATATAATATAATATAACAAAATATAACATAACATAATATACTTGCTATCAGTGTTTCTTAATTTTTGTGTGGGTTGATTTTGTGTGTTCGGAGGTTGTAAAGGTGCCATTTCAAGCAATTCACCCCTCGGGAGGGAAATTGGGCTCCTCGGCACAGATGGAAGAGGATATAGGGTCAATACAGGATCTTTTCTAAGTTGAGAATTCTGAGGCTATTTGTGTACTGATGGGAATGAACCAGCAGGGAGAAGAGAGAGAAGGCAATTTTCATAACCAAGATTATTGAGAGACTCAAAGGACAGATGTAAAGCAGGCAACCCAAAGTGTTGTCCAAAAACGAAGTGTCACTGGGAGCTTATTAGAAATGCAAATTCTCAGGCCTCACCCCAAATCTACTAATTCAAAATTTCTCAGGGTGGGTCCAAGTATTGTGATTTAACAAACTGTAATCGTGATTCTTATATTTGCTAAAGTTTGAGTAGCACTGATCATCCTAGAACATTACTGAAAAGTTGGCCTTGGGTGGATATTCTACAAGCAGGTCCTTGGGATCTGACCAAATTGTGGCTTGTCTCCGAACCCAGCTACTGAAAGGAATCAAAGGAACGCATTTAAACCGCAGTCCTAGGTATCCTATCTTGATGGATTATATATGCTTGCTTATCTGCTTTTTTTTAAATTCTTTTTATTGTGGTAAAAAACACATAAAATTTATCATCTTCACCATTTTTAAGTGCACAGTTCAGTGTATTAAATACATTCACACTGTTGTACAACTCTCGCCACCATCCATCCCCATAACTCTTACAAAACGGGAGTTTTATAAACTCACCTTATAAAACTACAACTTATACCCATTAAGCAAGAACTCCTTATCCTCCTCCCGCCCAGCCCCTGTCAACCACCATTATACTTTCTGTCTGGATGATTTTGACTATCTAGGTACCTCATATAAGAAGAATCACATAGTATTTGTCTTTTGGGGACTGGCTTATTTCAGTTAGCATACCTGTTTCATTCCTGAGCACAGTTCCCTTATGAACTTTCTTATACAGGATCCCACAGAGGGTTACAATCAGAAGGAACAGCAACACCTGATTAACTGAAATAAAAACAGAAACACATTCAAGTGTAACCTATCAAGCTGAAATTTGGGGAAAGTTTAGAATAGTCTTAGGAGCAGATGCCTTCCCTGACAGACATAGCAGTGGTGGTCTGGGACCTTTTTTTAAGCAGATGGCATGTGCATAAAGGGTTAAGCCGGGATGCTATTGATGCTCAAGGATACGGAGATGGAGTTTAAGGAGGATCCAGGGCTACCCCCGGCAGTCTGATGGCAGAGGCTACAACCTTAGTGCGTGTATGATGCTGCCTCTGGAGCCACTTTCTGTGCATGAATACTTTGTTTGAATGAAGAGCCAACATTTATATGATGCTTATGATGAGCCAGTACTTCTTATGAGTACAGGTTCTCAGCTATTATAACACAGCTGCTTCTCGGTTAGTTCAGCCACTGGTCAAGGATGACGTACAGAAAATTCTTGCCCTGAGTGAGAAGCCAGAAGACCCAAATACCTCTTCTAGTTCCCAGCATCCAGGACCATCTGTTCTAGAACAGTGACGCTCGCCCTTGGGATCTATTGAGAAGCACAGTAATATAGGACAGTGTTGTCCTAATATTGAGCACATGAATTGTGATTGTACATGAGGTGGTTTAGGAGGTTCATGATCATGGCATTAAGTAACATTAAATCACAGCGTGAGAAATCAGTTTAATTTCAGGTGCAGGCAGGCAACAAAAGCTACCCAGGATTGAATAACATTGTTCTAATCGTATATATTTGTATAATCAACTTCTTTTTATGATAGGAGATAGCTTATTCTACTTACAGTAAGGATATACTCTTTCTATTATAAAGTACACATAATTTTTTAAATGAGTCAACTTAAAGAAAATTGTTAAGTCATGCATAGGACAGAAGAAACACAGATGATGAAAAATTGAGAAGGTGTGCATTGCTCTACATGGAGCACAAGTACCTGAAATCTGGAAAATGTTGGTAGGAGAGGAAGGGGCTAGGATTTCAAGTGAGATTCAAATCTTGTTTCTATCACCTCTTAGCTGTGCAGCTTTGGACAGGTCACTTAATCTCTCTGAGCCTCAGTTTGCTCATCTGCTCCATGAGGAGTGTAATTGTAATATTAATCATTGTCTCACAGGGGGGTTTTGAGAGTAAACGAAGGCAATGTAGGCCCAGTAAACACGTTACAATTGTTATGTGTTATCATTTCCTACTTTTGTGCATCAAGGTATTTACATTTATTGGCCTCATACTGAGCTATTTTCTGGCTCCTAGGCCTTTGTCTTCACATTTGTAAAAGGAAGGAGTCATTCTCTACAGATGTCCTCCAGAGCTACATTCTGAGGCTCAGTGATTCTCCCGTGCTAACATCCAGCTCCCCTCTGCCTTTCTGGGTTGTCAGATGCAGCCAGAGACAACCGGATACTAGACTCAGTTTAAAACCAAGCTATGGAGAAATAGAAGATAAGGAACAAAGTCCTGTAGTTTATCAATACGTCTGATTAACATTTACCTGCCACAGCCAGTGTGGGGAGGCAACTCAATGTCTACTACCACCTCTATTTTTTTTTTTTTAGTGTAAGTATGTCTTATGCAATATTTGGGATATACTTATGCTAAAATATCATTCATAGATAATCTAAAATTCATATCTAACTGGATATCTTATCTTTTCATCTGCTACATCAGGCAATTCTACCCTGAGGCTAACAGCAACACAATTAGATTACTATGTTTCTCTCCTGGGTCCACAAACTGCTAGATCTGAAATCAAGGGCAAATCCAGGTTTTGATGGGGTCTGAAGATAATATAATTTAAGAATAGGAACATGAAATTACAACTGCTGAATTAAATAAGAACATGAATATTTATTTAAAATGAGAAAATAAGTTATACTTATAAGTTTTATAGAAATGTATGACCCCTCTCAGGATAAATCTATCTCTGGACAAAATACTTAACAACTTTCCACAGGCATCATCCTGAAATGATGATGCCAAGAATTGCATGTGGGAAAACTATCCATGAAAATCAAAGAGAATTTTTTTTTTTAAAGCCAAGATCTAGCATCAAAACAGTCTTTTAAAATATCTATTTTTAATAATCATGATTGTCAAAAGCTGTAATCTTACTTTTTCGTAACAAAGCCATGTGTGTTCAAGCAGACAAAAACTGTGACCTGTGGATTGAAGGAAAAAAGTTTATTTAAAACAGAATCAACCCAAAAGCCATCACACAATGATTAAGGACCATGTCTTTGATGGTCTGATATGTGGCAAACTGTGGACTCATTCTTTACTGTCCTGATACTAGAACTTTGGAAACAAATATCTCTTGGATGTATAGCTCCCCTCTTCCAATTAATTTCTCTGGCTGTCCAAACAGTACAAAGGCCCCCCAAGGGGTAATCTTTTGTCTTCAGGGTGTTTTGTTTTGTTTTGTTTTTTTATCTTCTCCAGAAAGAGCCCTGTCAGCTCTCTGGGTTAGCAAATCAGACAGTGCTAACTGAAGAAATGTCACACAAGAAGGTCTCCTTGACCTAAAATATCAACCCCCTGCATATTTTCTGCTATTATAACTGCATTCCTTTGACAAGGAAATTTTTACATCTTCAGGGACCCCTTTGGGAACAGAACTATACCTTACACTAAATCCAATCATTCATTCCATGAGTATTTATTGAGATTCTACTGAAAGCCAAGCACTGTGCTATGTAGTAGGGATGCACCAATGAACAAATCAGTCCCAGTCCCTATCATCATGGGGCTTTTAATCCTGGGGAAAACAGATATTAAAAAGTAACAAATAAAATAATTAGATTATGGTAAGAGATATGAAGGAAACAGAGGTCCTGGGATAAAGATCAACAGAGTTGGGGAGCGTTTCAGGACGAGAAATCAGGAAAAGCCTCACTGATGAGATGGCATTTGGTCAGAAGGAAGAGCAAGAACCAGCGGGAGAATGCAGAAGGAAACAGCAAGTGCAAAGGAAAGGAAACAGCAGGTGCAAAGGCCCTGTGGCTAAAAAGAGCTCTGAGTATTCTAAGCACAGCAAGAAGTTCAGTGTGGCTGGAATGGAGTGGACTAAAGAAGAGACGGGCCAGATGAGACTGAAGACAAACTGTGTTGTCTGTAAAGGAGTTTAGATTTTATTTCAAATGCATGCAACTCCTTCCATCCATGTCTGCCTTCATTAAAGTCCCCAAAGCAATGTTTTCAAATATTCCCACAGAAATTCTGATGGTAAAGGAGAGTGAACACTCAAAATCATCCATAATGAGCTCTAAAATACAAGTTTCTTGTGTTACTTCAGATTCCTGTAAACTGCGCAAGAATGAGGAAAAATAATGACTCCTTTCATTGCTAGCCGAGGTCCCCTCAGAGAGAAAACTCTCTGTTATCATGAAGTCAAAGTCTTCCATGCATGGATGGGGTGGGCAGGGATGAGAGCATGAACCTGTTAAATGGGTCCAAGTAAATGATGAATTGGAATCCTGGGGTTGGCCACAGCTCAAGAACATTATGTGAGGAGGAGAAAAATCCCATTGCAGGGGCTGCCACTTGCTCATGAGAATGTCTTTCCTTGTGACAGATGGCTCCCAGGGACTTTTCAAGAACTCTTGGGAGGCCCAATGTTCAGTCCACAGTCTTCTGCCATGCTCTGCACCTTCTAATCCCCACCCTACTGCTTTCCCCCCTTGGATCTAAAGACATGTATCAATGGGTTTGGGGGAAATCAAGGAAAGGGGGTCCTTTTTGGACATGGAGAATGGGGGAGAGATGCAACTAAGACAAAGCTCTGTGGACACTTTGATTATAAGGGAATGTAAGCCATCAGGAAGTCACAGGAATTTTGAAGGGGATACTGGGTGGGGGAAAGGTGAATCCATTTTACTTGAATCTCCAAATCTATGGCTGCTGGCAGAAATCTTAACTTTTCTGAGACATAAATCTCAAAAGTCTGCTGAAACCCATAGACCTCTTTCTAGAATAATATTTTTTATTTTTTTTATTTTTTAAAAAAGATTTTATTTATTTGACAGAGAGAGACAGCGAGAGAGGGAACACAAGCAGGGGGAGTGGGAGACGGAGAAGTAGGCTCTCCCGAGCAGCAGGGAGCCCAATGCGGGCTCCATCCCAGGACCCTGGGATCATGACCTGAGCTGAAGGCAGACGTTTAATGACTGAGCCACCCAGACGCCCCTAGAATAATATTTTTTAAAGCTTAAAAAATATATTGTATTATAAAGAAAACCAATTATGGAATTTTAAAGAAAAAGAAGCCATCAGCACATTGGAGGAAAAAAACCCAAATTTGTGACATGATATGTGTATTTCTTTATTAAGCAGCAACTGTTAGCAAGTGCAATAGTTACTGTCAGTTGAGGTAGTGGTGAGCTTTCAAAAACTGTGAGATACCTGAACAACTGTAACGTAATATGAAAATATCTGATTTCTCAGGGAATGATAGCACAGGTACACAGTAACTTCGTTCACAATTAAAGGAAGTGCCCAGTTCCAGTTCGAGGCTAATGAAAGTCAAGATTTTTTTAGGTGCACCTAAGTGGCCCAGTCGGTTAAGTGACTGGCTCTTGATTTCAGCTCAGGTCATGATCTCAAGGTCATGGGCTTCCTGCTCAGCAGGGAGTCTGCTTGAGATTCTCTCTCCCTCTGCGCCCCCAGCCTCCACCCCCACCCCCACTCCTGCCTTGCACATGCAGGTGCGCTCTCTCTCCCTCCCTCTTTAAAAAGAAAAAAAAAAAAGATTTTTTTTCGCATCTAAGTACATGAAATCCTGTGAAATGTATCCATGAACACTTTGTCAGTCTGTGCACCACAGGTGAAAGGTTAGACCCCCTGGGCTAGGGAGACTCAACTGCCATCTGGGTCAAGATGATGTTTTCACTGTTTTATCATCTAGAAAAACTGGTGCTCTGGGAAGATTTGTCAGATTTTTCCTGAGGGTTTTCATAGGCCCCGGCTCATGACCTGGTAGTCCAGGTGATAGGCAGGGTGAGCCCCCAGGCCCAGGCAAACACCAGAGAGGGACAGGCTGACTTTCAGGGGGACGGCCAGAGAGAGGAGTGTGAATGGAAAAGGAAGCCCTCCAAAGAAGGCTGGAGGGATGCCAGAGACAGCTTTGGGATAAGATTTCCTCTTTTGGACTGCTGTACCTGTTAAAGATCGTGAAAATGCCCACCTGTGCAGCTTCATGTAGACCGATGTTGAAAAGTCCTCTGCCTCTCTATTGAAGATTACAGAAGATAAAGAAGGACCAGGACACAAAACAGAGGGAGACTTTCACACACACATACACACACACACACAGACGCTACCAAGCCAACTTCTTACACAGACTCCTTGGCTTTGCATGAGACAAATTCAGGGCAAATTCTAAGAGGCCTATCAACCAGATATATTCCAGGGACAACATCTTTTAACAGGAGAGGCCAACCACTTCTTCAGAGAATAAAGAACTGGCCTATAAGAACTATTTTTCTGCCAAGACATTTGATACATGTTGACAAGGTGATTTCTTTGTGGTCTTCTGGATTTCCATAAATTTCATATTGCCAACTTCCATAATTAGAAAGATTGCTTCACCCAGAGAAACACAAATTGTGTTTCAGTATACCTGGTGTGTGTGTGTGTGTGTGTGTGCACGCGTTTTTAAATAGGCTTCCTTTCTGTGACACAAGTAATTTATTAAAGGCATATTATCAGTTCAAAATTTGATTTGTTGAATTTTCAATATTTACACATAGCAGAATTCACTTTTTTGGTTATATCATTCTATATATTTTAACACATGCATAAATTCTTATACTAAGAATTTATTGTATCTTGTACTAATTGTACTAAGAATTTATTGTATCTTATACTAATTCTTGTACAACAAATGGAATAGAGAACAATCCAACAGCTCCAAAGAATTCTCTTGTGCTACCCTTTTGCAGGCAGAACCTGCCCAACCCCTAGCCTCTCGAAAACACCAATCTATTTTCTGTCCCTATAGTTTTGCCATTTCCAGAATGCCATATAAATGGGATCATGCAATACACAATCTTCAGAGACTCTCTTCTTTCACTTAGCATGATGTATTTGGGATTCATACTTGCTGTTGAGTGTGTCAATAGTTTTTCCCTTTATCCTTGAGTAGTATTCTGTTGTATGGATGTACCACAGTTTACCTATTCACCCATTGAAAGACATCTGAGTTATTTTGTGTGTTTTGTGATTATGAATAAACCTTCTGTAAACACTTGTTTACAGGTTTCTGTGTGATTTTAAGTTTTCAGTTCTCTACGGTAAATACTAGAAATCAGATGGTGGGGTCATTTGGTAGATGTGTATTTAACTTCATAAGAAACAGCTTATCTAAATAAATAGAATCTTTAAAAAAGGGGGGGGGAACGCCTGGGTGGCTCAGTCAGCTAAGCGTCTGCCTTCAGCTCTGGTCATGATCCTGGGGTCCTGCACTGATCTCCCTGGTCAGTTGGGAGTCTGTTTCTGCCTCCCCCTGCTATTGTGCTCTCACTTGCTCTCTCTCTCTTCCTCTCAAATAAATACAATATTTTTTTAAAAAGAAAAGAAAGAATGTGGCCATTAAAAAAAATAAATAACAATTTGTCTTGAAAACCCAAAGTTTATTTTAAAATTAAGTTGATCCCTCTTCATTATGGTCCTTCAAAGGAACTTCTGAACTTGACATTTGACTGGAGCTAGCAGTCAGCCAACAGGGAATACTCAGCTTTAGAAACCAGCAGCATGACAGAGAGAGCCTCTGCCAGGCGGCACGAAAGGCCGGGATATCACAGCGCCCCAGGGCTCCCTCGTGAATCCAAGGATTGTGAGAACTTATTGGCAGTGATCTTGGGAAACTCTTCAATAGGAAACTCCTTAATTCACTGTAAAGAACCAGCTACAACATCCTTTTTATTTCCCCAGGCTCTAGACTTAGGGTACATGTGTGCTGGCCCCTTCTCTTCCCCTCTTATACCTGGGAGACAATCGAGTCAAAGCAGCACTTTACTTAAGACTCTTTGGATATTGATTTCGGGTACTTTTTATCCACTTACAATTTTAGATCATATGCATTCAGCTGACTCTTTGAGATGATGTAAGCTTAGAATGGTCTCTGGCCACAAGCCCCCTCTTGCCCACTCCATGAAGGAAGGCC